AATAAATCAGATAATGAATATTTACTTGTCGTGTGCAGTTTGCATAAGGTGTGCTAACTTTAAACAATCAAAGTAAGGCACACCTCTAAACTTTGTTGGAAGATATAATTCTGGTACCAGCAACTCTTGTGAGATTTGAAAATTCATTTTTTCCCTAATTATAAAAATTTAAAGTTAAAAAAATAGTGCAGATTGAGTAGATCCAAAAATACTTAATTTTTGTTTTGAAATGGATGATTTAGATAGTGCATTATATAAGATGCATTACTTTCTTGACTTAAAATATTAAAGCATATTGAGGTCTAGGTGATAAATTAGATGGTTTTTTTAAAAGAAAAGTTACAATGAGACCATTTATCTTTGGTACAAACTAGTTATAATTAATCTTGATCGTTGGATGTGAAATTAGATGGCTGCATTTATTCCAATGACCAAGCTCAAACTTTAAATTAAATTTTCTTGAACGTTGTAATACACCTAAGCTATACAATACCTTTTTAAAAATAACATTATCTAATTAGTTGAAAAAAGACTATGATAATGATGATGAGAATATATTTTGTCATGATATTTATGCGTGACCTAACATAATTGAAACGTCCCACAAGCTTTTTGATTGGATCAATCCATGTGGTCATGTCGACAACATGACCTTAGATGATTTTAGTCCTGGGTCCCACTAAACACGTCAATAGTGGCGATTGTTGGAGGCTGGCAAACACAATTATAGGGCCGCCTAGATTACCAGCTCAATGGCATTGCCATATGGATTATATAATCCATACCATGTGGGACAGTGATGACCTTTAAGGTCATTCTGTTATCATATATTGTTATCATGACCACATACATTTTAAAAATTAATTTGTTTTCAGAATAGATTTTAGATCTAAAATTCATTGATTATTGCAATTATGGATATAAAAATAAAATTTAAAAGTACATTATTTTAAAGAATTAAAGTGAATTGTCCAAAAAGGTATAAAATATTAAATTTTTGGAGCATCACCTGTTAAATTTTAGGAAAGAGTTTATATACGGGCGAGGTCCTAAACAATCAAATTAAAGTGCACATAAAAAATTCATTAGAAGATGCTGTTTCAATGTCAAAAAATCCTCAAATTGATCATCTCAACCTCAAGATGTACGAACATGAAAAAGAATGGATTTTAAGTCTTGTAAATAGTGGATCTTCCAACGTATTTTTGGATCGTCAATTTTCAAGATTTTCAAATGTTGACAGATATGCTCGATCTACACTATTTTTGAAGCTTTAAATTTTATAATTCAAGGTAAAAATAAAATTTCAGGCCAACTCAACTATTTGAAGGCGCACCTTACTTTGATGGTTTAGGGCCTCGGTCTTATAGAAGCCACAACCTAAATTTTAAACCCAAAACTCATATCTAATATGGATTTTGAAATGAGACCGCACTTGAATGGAGTGCGTCGGTTCAAGAACAAAATCCCCACCCGAAAATATAGGAAAAAGTCTATACAAAGGACGAACCTTATGTTATAAAAATAAGGAACATGTGTAAAACCCACTAGAAAGGATGTCTCAATGCTTGAAAACCCTTAAATTGGTCATCTCAACCTAAAGATGTATGAATATGAAAAAAAGAAAAGATTTCTACTCCTAAGAATAGTGCATCTTGTAACACACTATCTACACTGTTCATTTTCAAAAACTTTAAGTCTTTATAGATATGCTCGATCTACTATGGAGCTTTGAATTTTATAATTATGTGTGGAAATGGACTTTTAGGCTATTGTAATGACTTATGATACCAAAATTGTTACCTTCTTAGGAGTTTTAGAAGTATACTCTATTTTCATTATTTAGCCGACCCTAATTAGTTGATAAAAGAACTTGATGATGATGATGACCCTACATTGATTGTTTAAGATTGACAACTTATATAGCACCCACTCAAAAATCCAACATTAGCTGTGTATCAAGGGTTGAATGCCCTTACACAAAAGATACCATATCATTTAAAATTTTATTCTAGTCTAAAATTATGAGTTGGCAACAAACAAGAGGTTACAAGTTTTCCTACATTTCAAAAAATAGGTAAAAGTTTACATAGAGCCGAGGCTCTAAACAATCAAATTCGAGGCTACCTCAAAACTCTCACCAGAAGAGGTTGTTTTGATGCCCAAATATTTTCAAATTGATCATCTCAACATCAAGATACATGGATATGAGAAAAAAATGGATTTCAAGTTTTGAAAGTAGTATATTTTGTAACGTATTTTTGGACCATCAATTTTCAAGATTTTTATAGATCTCTCAATCTACTCTATTTTGAAGCTTTAAACTTTATAAAAGAAGATGAAAATATATTTTAAGGCTATAAATGAAGATGAAAATATATTTTAAGGCTATAAAAAAGATTTCCAGTATTGAAACCGCATTTCTCAATACTATTTGAAGGTAGGCTCTAAATTTGATTGTTTAGAGCTTCGGCTCTATACAAACCACACCGTTCAAAATATACCCTAACTTTGAGATATTTTTTTTGTTTTTTGTTAATGGTAAGAATGGAAGGTGAGCCGTTATGTCACACATTTCCATTCACAACCACTTCCTCTCTCACAATTCATTATGAGAGAAATTTCATAGAAACTTAAGCTTGAAGCGAACTCCTCTCTATATTTGACACATTAGGGCCCCACCACCACGTTCACCACCACCAGGCATGAGAGTACGCACCCACCAACCCAACTAAGCACATGGCCACGCGGGGTAGCCCATATCTTCATGCCTCTACCCCTTTCTTATGATCTCTCCCTCCCAAAATCTCTCTCTCTCTTTGGTGAGTTAGTCGGGAGAGAAGGCTCTATCCGATTTTATTAATGAAAAAAAATACAAATCATTTCTTTACAATCCTATAATAAGGTAATTGTGCTAAATCGTGAAATAAAAACAAAAAAATAAAATCTGGCTTTTTAGAATGCCAAACTGTAGATGTAGCTTCTTTACAAGTGTGTCTGCTACCATGGCCTCCCTCTATCATTGTTTAAAAAATCACGTCCTATCTCCTAATCGCTCGGATCAAAAGGCTTAAAATTTCGGTCCACAAAATCTCACAATTGCCCATGTCTTTCATTGTTTAAGGGGAAGTTCATCAAAATAAATCCAAGAGATGAAATTTTTGACATTTTTCTGTATCTTTGGATTTAGTTTCAAACTTCCATCAAATTACATGAGTTGTAATGGTTTAAAATTGATAAAATATCAGATAGTTCGTAACTGAGGTGGATTTTGATGAACTTCTCTTTCTTCTAACTTCTAAGGCTAGCTCCAAGCCCAAAAACCACCCCACAATTGCCTATGTCTCCCCATCGCCGAATATTTTTGTTAAAATTTTCGAGAAGCGGGGTCAGGTTTGGACACCCGGCGAGTGGAAACCCGAGTCCGACTTTTCCCAAACCCAAGGATTCCTCTCGAATATCTCGAGCCAGACATCGTGCTTTTCTCCCCCAAGTAAAAACTTTACCCTTCGCTCCCCTTACCGAAAATAAAAAAGCCAAAGAGCCCCCAAACACAAAAACCCCTACGATCGATACTTATCCCAAAACTATTGACATGTTCACCTAGAAACACAAAAAACACTATGCGAACCATGAAAACCGTAATTTCCCCAAGCTTTTCTTATATTCCAAAATCTCCTACCCCTTTGCCATTGTTGTATCCCCTATTCAACCTATAGTCATCAAGACTGGACTGGTCGGACTGCTTATCGGTATCTTGGCTGTTTGGTTCAAAGTAAAAATCCGGTAAAACCGAAAAGCAGCCAAAACTAAATGGTTTGAACTAACTAGATTGGTTTGATTGATTTAATGAAGTTGGGTAAAAAATATTAACATATAATGTATTTTTTAAATTATTAAATTTATTTATTTTATAAAATCCAATTCAACCAATTCGACTAGTGTGTTTTCACGGGAGCTGATTGAATTGCCATATGTAGGAAGCGGGTGAGTTCGAAAAAGATTAAAATTGTAGTTTGTTTTACTTTCAATTCCAGAAGACTCTCGCTTCTTCTACATATGGTTGCTAATAATGCACCTACAAATGGTTGCTAATAATGCACCATCTATAGAGAACATGTAGTTCAAGGATATGACTTGGTTCCATAAATCCATACTTTTCTTGATGGAGGGGTGACATGGAGTATATATGATTGTGAATGCTCAAACAAGCAACTCCCAACCGTTCATATTCGAAGGGAAGAAAATAATAGGCCACCTTTTTATGTTCTATTTTAATTTAGTTTTTTCTTGACATTGGATTTACATGAAATTTTGCATTACCTAAAAAAATATTAAAAATGGTTCAAAGAAAAGCAAGTTAACCAAAATATCCAGAAATATTCTAAGGATAGTTTGGTTCATTTATTTATTTTAATCATAGATCTTAATGTAAACGACTGAGAGGGTAGTTGCTTGTGCACCATTCATGCCTCCACATGACATAGAACGTTAAGAGGGTGTTTGACACCTTTTCTCTACTGACAACCACGTTTCCAAAACCCCAACCCAGCTTAGTGTCTTAAAAGACAATCTTGAGAGTAAATTTTTCAAAAACTTGTGTTTTGAACAAAAAAAGAGGTTTCTTTTCTGCCTTGAGACAAATATGGAATTTGGTATATGAAAATAATGTGTGATCCAACGATTGATATCAAAGCTGATATCTGAGAAGTAGCATCATGGGGTTGTAACAAGTGAGCCTCATACTCTACATGACGGTAATTTTTTTCCGTGTAATTTATAATGTTCAAGAACTCGGCTCGGGCTAAGGACTCAGCTTACCCTTGCGGAATCACTCGGCCGAGTCCACAAACACTAATTATTCATGGGTGGTGTATATGTAAATGCTCAAGAACTCGGCTCGGCCTAAGGACTCGGCCTACCCTTGTCGAGTTACTCGGCCGAGCTCACGAACAACACTGATTATTCATAGGTGGTATGTATAGATGTTTTTCCCAATGTATTTGGTACTTCCAGTATATTTCATATGCTTAGTATTTCCATTGTATTTCACACAGACAGGAAGGCTCCCACTTCCCAACAATATTCATCACAACACAAAATTTCACCAAGAGGTTGGGTTCACTGGGGAGCACAAGTGGGTCAACCACGGTTGCATCAAGGCTCGAGCTCTACAACAAGTGGGCTCAACCATGGTTGCTTCTAGGCTGTGCTCTGCACCAAGCGGGCTCAGGAGGGCAAATGATCATGCTCAGCCACCCGGTTAGTCTTGGCTCATGCATACAGCACCTGCGAGCATGAGGGTATGAGTTCTGCAAATCCCGGTGGTGCTGCCACCACCTCCCACTCAACAGAGACCCCCCCAGGTCCTCGCGCTACCGTCCCCACCGCTACATGCAACCCGCTCGACACCACATACATTCTATCACCAATTGCGCTAACTGTGAAAGGCCTCCGCACCTCTCCTGGCACGCACCCCCCGCCGGCATACTCCCAGACATCTCTCTCGGGCACGTAAACCTTAACTCTTGAATTCTTGTGCTCTGATATCACAAAAAGGTTTCCTTCAACGACCACACTAAGACCCGTCCAGCCCTCTCGCATTCCTCGGCGCATTTCCTCCCAGGAGTCGGACTCTGGATTGTACACCGCACCGCGGGGTGGGACGTCGAACGGCCATTCCCACCCCTCGGTGATGTACATGCGTCGGGCAAAGACTGCCGCATCGTAGCGTGTCATGCCCACCCTCATGTCTGCCACACGGGCCCACTGACCCGTTACTGGGTCATATGACTCGACAGATGCTAGCGCGTCGTTGGCACCAGTCCCCCCTGACACATAAATTTTACCTTCGATTTCGCCTGCAGCGAAGAACGATCTTGGTGTCAGCATAGGTGTAGTTTCCGACCAAGAGTTAGTTGAGGCCCGATACACGAAAATAGAATCCATGGGAGACTCGGTATCAGAACGAAGGCCACCGCACACGAAGAAGGTGCCTTGTTGTGGGATTGAAGTGCATGCGAAGCCCGGTGGGCAGACAGGCTTGGTGCATGGCATAGGGGGGAGGAGGAACCAGAGTCGAGAGCGGGGATCGAAGGCCTGCCAATGAAGCTTGGCTGTTGATATTTGGAACGCAAAGACAAAGAGATAGGGTGAAGCAGGGCTCTGCTTTTTCTTCAGTTTGAGGAACGAAGGACTGGATATTGATCTGTTCCATGAAGACGAGACTGACCTGACATTCAACTGGTGCGGGAATGGAAGGCGAAGGAGACAGGATACAGCGATATCATCCGGGAGGCCTGGGATCAAGGGCTCCGGTTCTTGCTCTGCTTCTCGTACTTGCTTTGATTTTGGTTTGATGGAGCTTTGAAGTGGCTTTAATGGTGGGTCTGAGAGTATTTCTTTTCCAGAGCTTTGAATTGGCATCAATGGCGGATCTTGAGGTTCTGAGGAGGGGAATGGGTGATGAAGTTGCAGAGAAGCTGGATCAGGCCCGAAAAACATCATTTGGAGCTCTAATGGACTTGAATCTTACTCACCCTTTCTCAGTTGGAACCTCAGATTCTTCTCTGCAAAATTCAAATTCAAAGCTTAGTCTAAAGAGAGACGAATTTAAAGCCTAGTGAAAAGAGAAAATGGAGGATTTTGAGAAATCTATCTTAGTCAAAAGAAAAAAAAGGAAGGAAAGCTCTATGCATCTTACCATTTAAGGAAATAAAGTTTGATAGCAGAGATCCACACACTGATTCCCTCCCTACTATGATCCAAACCTGAAGCTTTCAAATGGCTTATTGAAGAACACGAAAAGGCGATGAAATGTTTTCCATTTCCGGAAATTCTCTTCTTGATTTCAGACTCCCTCATTCAGTAACACATAGCATATGCCATAGCCGCAACGGCTTACTGTTTCAGGAAATAAAGGAAGAATCTTTGATACAAGAGATTGAATAATGGTAGTCCTGAAAGCTCAGTTCCTCTCTCTCTTCACTTAAGCATGACTGAGAGAAGTAACAGAATTATGCTATTTATGGAAACAATTGGAAAGCAGGGATTGATTCCACCATACCTGAAACTTAATTGCTCTGCTTTTCTTTTCTGATCTCCAAATCTTTTTGCCCTAAAGTTTTGGCTTCCTTCTCGAAAGTGGATCTTTTGAGCATCTCAAGAATCACTTAAAACTCTTGAAAAAAAGAAAAAAAAAAACTGAACAAATTCCACGAAGTCCGAAAAAGCGAAAACTAGAGCCTAAGCCATTAAACTATTCATCTTCTCTTAAAATACCAAGCATAATAACAGATGAAACAGAGAGAGCAAATGGGTTTAATCCCCTGCCCTTTGATAAGTCTTTATAGACGCCATTGATGAACTGTGTAAAGCTTGCGTGGATGAATTCTCATCTTCCTCTGCAACTCTTTTAGTTCTTAATAAGAGCGTCCAGTTCTTTTCCGTTTCCTTTTTTTTCAATTTGGGGCCCTTTGGTAACGGCCGCTACTAAAAGCAGGGTCACGTCATAGGTTAAATAGGACGGTTATTGGGAAGAGCAGGTAAAATAGTACATAGGTAAAAGCGAAATCCCAAGAAAAGGGTAGGTAAAATGGTAGTTAGTCAAGGGAAAGCCTTTTTATACTTTCTCTATTATATATAATTTCTCTATTATATATATATATATATATATATATTTTAATTTTTTCGCCGATCTGAATGATAGCTAAGATGGACCAAATCACAATGACACGCCTTTGCATTATTTATTTGTATTTTTTATAAAATATTTTGACACCAAATTTTGATCATTTAGTTTTATCAAGAATATTTTTCAATATTTTTTTATGCATTCCCATTACATTGATATTACATACCAAATTTCATATTCATATAATAAAAATTAAAAATGAAATACTCCAAGATGTTTGATCTTAAATCAAATAGTCAGTGGCTCACTTGATCTAAATTATATAGTTGGATTTGAGAGGGGGAGTATATAACTTATATACAGTAGAGGAATAATAGAAAGCTTTCTCATTTGTTGAAATGACAAGAATGGTCTTCTAAGAAATTTGGGATATTGACATTAAAATAGTTAAGCCACTCAAAAATAAAAATAAAAAAATAAAAATACAACGAGGTAAAATCCACAATTCTTTCATAAAAATGGTTATTTTAAGGTAAAATCAACACTTCTTTCATGCAAAATGGTTACTTTTAGAAATTTCTCACTTGGATACCTCTTCAAGAGTTCCGTTAAAAATGGATAAATTGCTCTTGTTCCAATCTTATAACCTTGAAGGAGCGAGCATATTTTGATAAAGGATTGTTTAAAAAGAGAATATTTATTTTTTATACATAGAGATCACAATTATTTTTGTTCTTTAAATTTCAAAATGGGTAGTTGTATGAGTGTTATTGAATAGACACAAAATTTTAAAAACAATCTCTCGAACTTTGTGACTCCCCTCAAGCTACCAATTTGACATCTAATAAGTGAAAATGATTGTGACATCCATGTACAAGAAATAAACGATGTATTTATAGAAATCCTTTTTAATACTTTGACTTATGTAATTCAATTGAACCAAATTACCTATATATCCATACTTATTTTGGGTTCCAAGTTTAAAGCATGTTTTTCCATTAAAATTTTTACTAATGATTTGGATATTGGAAAAAGTGGAATCATTTTCGTATTTTAGTCCTACTTAAAATCACTTGAACTGAGCTAAAAGATACAATGACATATCTTATTCATTCAGGGGTCCAAAAATGAATTAAATTTTTTTCAATAAAACATGTGTTTGGATATAGAATTGATAACAAGTATAGGTATTTAGGTCACGTGACTCAAATAACTTCACCAAGTTGTCGCTCTCACTTGCTCGGGGTTCTAGTTATGAAACCAAGACAGTTGGAATGTTTTTTAAGAAAATAGTTCAGAAGGTATTCACTTAAAATAACATTTTAAAAATGAGCATTTTATCAATAAAAGTAGTCGATTTAATCACCTCCTTGCTTTATTTATATGGTTTGATAACTTTATTGATATTTGCACTAGAATCTTACTTCCTACTCACTCAAGATATTTCCCTATAATTTGCTCAGAATTTTGTTAGATATGGTGATGTCCAAAATCACCCACATAAGAAAAACTCATATTATGTGGGATTGAGATTGATATCGATAAGTTTTCTCAAGGAAAAAAAAATCCAAAAAGATTAGGACTCTGGGATATATCTTTTTGTTCTTGAGATATATATAACATTTATATTAAGTTTCCTATCTAGTGTGGACTCCTAAACTTATATATGAGATGAAAGATGAAAGACTATGGGTGCACTTTAGGTCACCATATGCGAAATGTGTATTCCTTTAGAGAGGGGCAGGGGCCTCCTGTGTATGAGAGGAAATGCCTCCCCTCGGAGAGAATAGAGCTTCATACCTCATTGCATGAGAGGCAATGCCTCCCTTCAGTGAGAATAGAGCTTCATACCTCTGTGCATGAGAGGCAAGGCCTTCCTTTTGATTGAAGAGAGCTTCATATGGAGAGAAACACTATGGATATGCCTTAAGTAGATGGAGATGTTGTTTTCTTGTAGAGAAGTGGTTCTTAAAAAGATTTTAGGTGACTTACTCTTTTAGTGAGAGAAAGTCTTGATTGCACTCAATGGTTTCTTTTTGGAGAGCGGTTTAACGGTGAAATAGAGATGGGTATCTTCCTAGACAGTGGTTTACCAATAAAATAGGTATGAGAGATTGGTGATTTCAGTTTGTCATGCCCGTGGATGTAGTCTTCTTGGGGTGAACCATGTAATTGTTTGTGTTCTTGTTACGTGTGTTTCATGTTTTATTTATCGTATTATGACTTGTATTATTGTATCGTGTGTGTTTCATGTCCTATTTCTCATATTATGGCTCATACTCTCACCTATTTTGTTTTTAACTGGATAAGTACATGATCTTGATGGAATCCAACTTTTGAAAGCGATGTTTATGCATCTAAGAGAACTTTTAAAGCGTAACAAGTTTTGCTTCCCACTTAGTGAAATTATGCTCAGGATTTTCAAAATAATTGTGTCTTGCCTGATAAGGCAGCCTTATCTTGGAAGAATCCGTAGAATGCTGTCCGTTTAGAACTACGGGATATTTGCCCTTTAATGGAGTTGGCCATATGGCCCATACGCCATACGATTCAAGTGATAAAAATGGCATCTTGTTTTCATTGTAGGGACAAATATCCATTTTCTTTCTTTAAAGCTAAAAAATGTGGTCTATTTAGGAAATGAAGATAAGTTCTTCCGTAATTGTAATTATTGTGTACCTTCTTTTAAAATATTAAACATTAAGGGGACAATATACTATAAGACCAGAAATTCACGCATAGCTCTTAGGTTTGAAATTTGACAGCTTGAGATGTGCCACAAAGTTAAAAATATTTTCGTTTAGACTTTGAGGCTTGATCAAGAAGACACTTCAGCCGATTGAGTTCACATCCCACAACCAAGATTGACTGTGAACTCTATGTACAAAAGTTAAATAGCCTTATTATATATATTTTTTTAGAAATTATCATCATGTAATTATATTTACTCCTATGAATAAAAAATAGTTAAATAGTCCTATCATATACCCATCCTCGAAATTATCGTCAAGTAAATATATTTACTTCTATGAATAAAAAATCGTAAATGTGGTTTCACTTGCTCATTTGATCACTACATTATCTACAAATATATATAAATGCATATAAAGATAGGAGTTCATGGAAACCTAAATTTAAAGAGTTTTGCCTATATCATAAATATTGTGAAAGATGTTATCAGAATTCCCCTCTTAAAAACCTAGAATATTTTGTAGTTTTGTATGTTTTCCATTGCATTCTCAAATGTTTTGAGGAAAATCCAAATTTATCGAAACCTCCTAACAAATTATCATGCCTATAAAGTTCCCTAAAATTTAGGACAATGACCTTTCACCTTTATTTTCATATTAACTTATGACAATGATATTTCAATTTTGTTGCCATATTTGGGTGTGTGGTGACGAATTTGGTCCACATGGATAAGAAAAGCACCCGAAACCTAATTTAGTAGGCGGCAAGTTGAAAGATAAACCACCAGTTTTTGCTAAAATGGTGGTCTTCATTTTTACAATGTCTTCTCTTAAGAATCTAATTTGCTAAAGTGATAGTGCTCATTTTTATAGGATCATGTCTTTAGAATCTAACTTTTTGACAATTTCATGATAGGTTCCAATGAGTGGTTATTTGACATGGCTCACCCAATTCCAAAACTACTGTAAAATTTTCCCGTAAATTTGGTTTTTTTTTTTTTTTTAAGCAATAGGAATAATACTCAAATCAGGTTTTTTTTTTTTTTTAAGCAATAGGAATAATACTCAAATCAGCACATTATGAACAAAGTGTTATCTTAACACTCTGGCCATCACATTATGGCACCTTGGTAACTACCGAGGCCGAGGCCGAGGCCGAGGCCGCGGTCGCGGCCTAGAGGTCATTCCTTTCGTACACAATTTTCCTTCATGATACAATAGGGTTGCTCACCAATGGGAAGTGGTAGAAATGTAAATCACACACAAGCATCATAGCGCGTATACGAGAATGTGGGAAACCAACAAACTTATACTGTGACGTAAGCCACTTAGAAAAGTACGAGTATATTAGACCATAAATTATCTAAAACATTTAAATCTCATTTAGGCAATCACAATAAAAAAAGTAAATCTGTTCATTTGGTGGACGGTGGATCTCAGCATTTAGAATGAAAAATCTTTTTCGATAAAACTCTTTATTTTTCACATAAAATTCCATCTAACTACCCTTTATACAATAATTAAAGGTGCTTGGCTTATAAAAATTATGCCCAATAAAATATCACTTAATTATCCTCTTTGTCTCTCTTTCATTTCTCCGTCTTTGCTTCTCCCACAAACTTGTCTACGCAGATGCCCTTCTTTTTATGGTGTCACTTTAGCGTGTCTCCAATAATCATGAGAACAAGGCATTGAATTTGATAATTCTAAATGGTTTTATTTTTACCATAGTTTATAATTTTTATATAAAACTTATATCTATTCCTAATTTTCTATTGTTTTACTCATATTCTTGATCCGCGTGAAGGTGAGAGAGAGAGAGGGAAAACACAAAAGTGTCATCCCAAAATGTCTCAAATCACAATGCACATCCAACCATACAAGTTGTATGGTTTTAGTGGAACCAAGCCAAGACCACGTGGCCAACGCTTGTTCACTTAAATAAAAGCTTTTTATATGCCCACTTTTAAACCCAATAAATAAGTTTAAAAATAAAAATAAAATTATATTAACGTGTGTGTATACGTTAAAATATTTTATAATTGTACTCAACAAATTTATATATTTATATACTTTTATTTTATACTACAATATTTTTTTTAGTAAGAGTTTGTTTGGTCATTAAGATAAGTATGACATCATCTACATGGAAC